TTTTTTTAATTGTAGCTTTCCTGGTGGGTGCATAGTGGTATTTCATTGTGGCTTTAATTTGTATTTCCTAATGACTGGATGATGTTGAGTGTCTGCTCGTGGGTATTTCATCTTTGATGAAGTATCTATTCAAATCTTTCACCATTTAAAATATTACCCATTTAAAATACTGTTTTTTTGGGCGCCTGGGTGGCTCAGTTGGTTAAGCGACTGCCTTTGGCTTAGGTCATGATCCTGGAGTCCCAGGATTGAGTCCCGCATCGGGCTCCCTTCTCAGCAGGGAGTCTGCTTCTCCCTCTGACCCTCCCCCCTCTCATGCTCTCTCTATCTCATTCTCTCTCTCAAATAAATAAATAAAATCTTTAAAAAAAATACTGTTTTTTTAAAATTATTAAAATTTGAGAGCTTTCTGTAGATCTGGATTTACATTCTTCATCACATATGCGATTTACAACTATTTTTCTCTCGGTCTATGGTTGCCTTTCCATTCTCTTGACCTTGCCTTTTGAAGAGAAGTTATTAATTTTGAAGAAGTCCAGTTTATCAAGTTTTTGTTTTATGAATCACAGTTTGGTGCTGTATTTGAGAAGTCTTTTCCTATGTTAAAGTCACAAAGATCTTTCCTGTTTTTTTTTTTTTTTTCCCAGAAGTTTTATGGTTTTAGGTTTTATATTTTGGCCTATGGTTCATTTGAGTTAATGTGTTTGGCAAATATTTTCTCCCATTCTGTGGCCTGTCTTGTATTTTCTTTTTTTTTAAAAGATTATTTATTTATTTATTTATTTATTTATTTATTTATTTATGAGAGACAGAGAGAGAGACAGAGGCAGAGGGAGAAGCAGGCTCCCCGATGCGGGACTCGATCCCAGGACCCTGGGATCATGACCTGAGCCGAAGGCAGACGCTTAACCGACTGAGCCACCCAGGCGTCCCCTGTCTTTGTATTTTCTTAACAATGTTACTAGAACAATTGAAGTTTTAATTTTGATAAAATTCCATTATCAAGTTTTTCTTGTAAGGTGTGTACTTTTTTTGTGTTCAAGGAAATCTTTCCCTAACCCAAGATCACTAAGATTTTTTCTTATATTTTCTTCTAGAAGTTGTATAGTTTTAGATTTTATGTTTTGAGTTGATTCTTGCCTATGATGTGAAGTATGGGTTGAAGTTCATTTTTTTTTTCCACAAGGATGTCCAATTGTTCTAGCACTATTTGTTGAAAAGATTGTCCTTTCTCCAGTGATTTACCTTGGCACCACTGTGTGAGTCTCTTTCTGGACTCTTATGTTCTATTGACGTATATATCTGTCGTTCGGCTGAGACCTCACTGTCTTGATTACTGTAACTTTATGGCAAGTGAGGCTAGATAGTATGAGTACAAATTTTCTTCTTCTTTTTTTTTTTAAAGATTTTATTTACTTATGTGACACAGAGAGACACAGCGAGAGAGGGAAAACAAGCAGGGGAGTGGGAGAGGGAGAAGTAGGCTTCCCATGGAGGAGGGAGCCTGATGCGGGGCTTGATCCCAGGACCCTGGGATCATGACCTGAGCCAAAGGCAGACGCTTAACCGACTGAGCCACCCAGGTGCCCCACAAATTTCTTCTTCTTTTTCAAAATTGTTTTAGCTATTTTAGGCCCTTTGTCTTTTTGTATAAGTTTTTAGAATAATTTTGTCAATTTATTTATTATTTATTTATTTTTAAAGATTTTTATTTATTTATTTGAGAGAGAGAGAATGAAGAGAAAGAGAGCATGAGATGGGGGAGGGTGAGAGGGAGAAGCAGACTCCTCACCAAGCAGGGAGCCCGATGCGGGACTCGATTCTGGGATTCCAGGATCATGACCTCAGCTGAATGCAGTCTCTTAACCAACTGAGCCACCCAGGTGCCCATCAATTTTTATTTAAAAGTTTACTGAGATTTTGGTTGGGACTGCATTAAACTTATAGATCAATTCAGAGACAGAATTAGCATTTTAACAATATTGAGTCTTCCAATCTATGAACTTGGTATATCTCTCCATTCATATAGATCTCCTTCAATTTCTCTCGCTAATGTTTTGTGGTTTTCAGCACAAAAATCTTGCATATATTTTGTTTGATTGGAAGGTATTTTATGTTTAAATCTGATTATAAATGATACTGTGCTTTCTTTTTTTTTTTTTTTTAAGATTTTATTTATTTATTTGACAGAGAGGGACCGCGCGAGAGGGAATACAAGCAGGGGGAGTGGGAGAGGGAGAAGCAGGCTTCCCCCCGAAGCAGGGAGTCCGATGTGGGGCTTGATCCCAGGACCCTGGGATCATGACCTGAGCCAAAGGCAGACGCTTAACGACTGAGCCACCCAGGCGCCTGATACTCTGCTTTCAATTTCAATTTCCAACTGCTCATTGCTAGTATATAGAAATATGACTGATTTTTAAATGTTGATCATTTATCCTGCAAACTTGCTAAATTCTTTTATTGTTCTAGTGATCTTTTGTGTATTCTTTAGGATTTTCTCCATAGACTATCATTTCATTTGTAGATAAAGACAGCTTTATTTCTTCTTTTCTGATCTCTATGACTTTTATTTATTTTTCTTGACTTATTGCCTTTACTAACACCTCCAATACGATGCTGAATAGAAGCGGTGAGAGATAGTATCTGGAACATGTGGTACTCTTGCTTGCCCAGGGCCTTTGCTTGTGAAATGCCCTATATCTAAATCATTCTCTTTCCTTACTGCAGCCTTTTCTATTAACTTATCCTTCATATTTCAGTTCAAGTATTGCTTCTTCAGGGAAGTTTCTTTAATTTCTTCAAATTTAGGCCATGTTCTTTTGTAATATACTCTTATAGGATCATGTTTCTTTTATTAAAATAATTTATAACAGTTTATATTTTTTCATTAGTGTGATTATTAGGTTGCTAATCTTTCTAACTAGATTGTAAGCTCCAGGGGCCATATCTATTTTGCTCATCATTGGGTTTTTAGTGCCTGCACTTATTAGGTGATCAATAGATATTTGTTAAATACATGGGGAGCCAATAGGTAGCAGAAAAATGTAAGAGGCAGAAGATGAAGTGGGAAAGGTCGGTGAGGGCCAGGTCAAGGAAGGCCTTGTAGGCCATGAAGAGTTTGCACTTCCCTGGTTCTCAACTTTATTTTGCACCAGGTACACTGGGGAACATGTTATGAATGCAGGTACCCAAGTGGCACCCCCACTTGCAGAATAATACTCTTTGGTATTGGGGTCTGGGCCTCCATTTATTTTGATTTTGATTTTTTTAAAGATTTATTTATTTGTTTGAGAGAGAGAGAGGGCATGAGCGGGAGGGGCAGAGGGAGAGGGAGAGAGAGAATCTCAAGCAGACTCCCCGCTGAGCATGGACCCCAATGAAGAGCTCCATCTCATGACCCTGAGATCACAACCTGAGCCAGAACCAAGAGTCGGACGTTTAACGGACTGTGCCACCCAGGCACCCCTGGGCCTCCATTTATAACAAGTTCCCCAGGGATGCACCAAAGGCATCTGGGTACTGTTTCAGGATCTAGAGAGACATTGAATCTTGAAGCAGGAAAGTGTCATAATCATTTTACTTTTTGGCAAGACTACTCTAGCTGGATATCTTGGAAAGGTATGAAGGCAGAAGATTGGAGATTACTGCAATCATCTAGATAAGTGATAATGAATGCCTCAATTAAGGGAGGAGAATCAGTGGAAATACAGGGAAGAACATGGATTCAAGGGAAATTTAGAAGTTAGATTTGGCAGGTCTTGGTGTCTATTTGGATATATGGGGAATGAAGAAATAAGAATACTAACAATAATAACCAACAATTATTGAGCACCTATGATATGCCAGGCACAATTCTACATGCTTTATACATATCATGATTTAGCTTCCTAACAACCATATGAGGCAGATTATAGTACCATCCCCAGGCCTTCAGGTGACTCCTAGCTTTCTCACTTTGGAAGGGGTGATGCTGTCCATCAGATGGGAATTATGAAAGGAAGACAGGCCAAGAGGGTGGCATGGTGAGACCCAAGGTGGTGATTGGAAACACAGTTCTGCAGCTCTCCTGAGCGTCTGGGAGCCATCACCCCGGAAGTGGATGGGATTGACCAGAAGAAAAGAGGTTGAGGCCAAGGCTCCTGGTCTGGCCTCTGTGGATGGATTTCCTGACTGCATGAGCCTCTTGAGTTATATGGGAGATGCTGACAATCTGTGATTGTGCCAAAGGAGTGTGCGTGGCCCACCAAGAAGATAAAGGACTACAGATACAGGTGGTGGGCAGGTAGAGAGGATTCAAGGATGAATATTGGAGGGGCGCCTGGGTGACTCAGTCGTTAAGCGTCTGCCTTCGGCTCAGGTCATGATCCCAGGGTCCTGGGATCGAACCCCACTTCGGGCTCCCTGCTCGGCAGGAAGCCTGCTTCTCCCTCTTCCTCCCCTGATTCATGCTCTCTCTTTCTCTCTTGCTCACTCTCTCTCTCTCAAATAAATAAATAAAATCTTAAAAAAAAAAAGAAAATTGGGAAGGAATGGCCTGAGGGATAGTAAGAAATTTAGAAGGAGATGTCAGGAGGCCAAGGAAATAATCTTTCAAGAAAGATGGAGTGGTCAGTGGTGTCCAGTCCAATATCATAGGTAGGTCAGGTAAGAGAAAACTTGAAAAGAGTCCACCAAATTCAGCTATTAGTTGATTGTTAGTGGGTTTTTTTTAAGATTTTATTTATTTATTTACTTGGGAGAGAGAGAGAGCACGCAAGTGTGGGGAGCAGAGGAGGGAAGATGCAGAGGGAGAGGGAGAGAGAATCTCAAGCAGACTCCCCCAGGAGCACAGAGCACGACTTGAGGCTCCATCTCACGACCCTGAGATCACCATCTAAGCCAAAAGCGAGTCAGAAGCTCAACTGACTGAGCCACCCAGGCACCCCGATCATTAGTGGGTTTTTAAAATATTTTATTTGTTTATTTGACAGAGAGAGACAAGAGAGAGAGGGAATACAAGCAGGAGGAGTGGGAGAGGGAGAAGCAGGCTTCCTGTGGAGCAGGGAGCCCGATGCGGGTCTCGATCTCAGGACCCTGGGATCGTGACCTGAGCCGAAGGCAGACTCTTAACAACTGAGTCACCCAGGCACCCCTGATTGTTAGTGGTTTTAATGATTTCTGTGGCTGGTGGCTGGGGTGGGGTAGGTAGTGTGAGGTGAGAATTGACAATGAATATGACCTCTTCTTTTGAGGAGCTTGGCTGTGGAGAGAGAGCTGTCAAGGGTGGAGGATGATTCCCCTCCCCTCTCCCCTTCCCTCTCTTCTTCCTCCCTTCCTTTTTTTAAGGAGGAGAGACTTGCACATGAGTACAGGAAGAGGGGAGAAATCCGTGGCAGTGGGCATAGCAGGACGGGGGGAGGAGACGCTTGATGGAGCAAGCTTCCCAGGGGGTAGAGTTGAGAGTGTGGGTGGAAGGCCTGGCCCTGAGCACAGGGAGGGCCACCTCCAAGAAGGAGTTAAGGGTGGGGATGAATACAGATAACAGGCGAGGGGGGCATTAAGGAGATGGTGCCAACCATGGAAACCCCTTCAGCCACCAGGAGTTTATGAGTCTGGTGCCTGGCAGAGGGCGGGTGTGATGATGTGTCTTTGCAGCTGAGGAGACACCCTCTTCTGCTCTGAAGACTCCACTGCCTTTTCCTTAACCTGGGACACCCTACTTCTGTTCTGCCTTGTCCTCCTCCAGGAAGCCTTCCCAGATTGACACCCCCACTCTGCCCCTCCCAGCAGCTGGCTCAGCTCCCCATTCCTTCCTTGCCCCAGCACAGAGGCCAAGAACTCCCCACTGGTTCAGTATCTGTCTGTCTGTGCCTGGCCTCTGGAGAGAAAGCACCCAGAAGGGGGAGGGGAGGGGACTAGAACACGTGTGATTCTGTAAAATGGGTGGCTTCTCTCTCAAGCCTGCCCCTCCCCGGCTCTCAGGATGAGCTCTGGCTGGCCACAAGGGGGTGCTTGGCCCGAGAAAGTCTGGCTGCCATGGTCTGGGCATCCGGCCCAGTTGGCTGGCTGGCAGCTGGGGCCCCACTCTGGCTGGGACCTTTGCCCCCTACACCGATGGCCCCGGCCTCCGTTGCCATGGCTGCCCTTTAGTTTGGGGGTAAACAGGGCTCTTCCTCCTCCTCCTGTCCAGATACTGATACGCAATTGTCTCTCCAGGGTTGGGCTGGAATTCCAAGTGTGCAGGTACCCCCCGCCCTCATCTGGGGAAGGCACAAGGTGGTGAGTCACTGAATTTACGTTTCTTTCCACATCCTCACTGTTATCTGGCTGCCCCCGCTGCTCCCCCCCTGCCCAGCCTATGTCCTGCTAGAACTGGGGAGGGATGAAGATAAGGGCTGGGCTCATTTGGTCTATCAAACAGGGTGGTGGGGTGTAGGGAGGAGCCTTCCCGTCCTGGATTACCTCCTTGGGGCTGTTTCTGGGCTGTGGAGGGCTTCCCAAGGCCTATCCATCCCTGGTATCAGTGAGAATAATCGCAGCCTCTTTTCTCCCTTATCTTCAGGATCCTGGGGGCCCAGGGTGAAGGAGAGGAGACGATAGGAAAAAAGGAATGTGGGGGCGAGGAAATAGGGACTCGTCGGGATAGAATAGAATCAGAGAACCATTCGTTCCTTCCTTCTGTGAATCGAACGAATTTCTGTGCTGGTTATTGAGCAAGACAGAAACGTGTAAGACAGGAGCCCGCTTTTGAGCCTGCACTTGGTGCTGGTGTGAGGCCCTGGACTTGGAATTTGGGGACCCCATCTGGAGCCCCAATTACTAGTTGCTGGGCAAGTTACTGTAATGATACTAAACCCTCAAGGTCATTGTGAGGACTGAATGAGACAAATATCGGAGACTGCCTCATTAGCCAATGTTCAAGCCACGTTAGATGCCTTTGGATCAGGTTTATAATTAGGGAGGTGCTCAGGCAAGGGTGACCCAGCCCAGGGGCATAACAAAGGCTCGTTTTGGGGGTCTCTGTGGGAGTGGTGACTTCCAGCAGTGGTGACCTGGGCAGGCTGTGTGGGCAGGTGCCTGGTGTGTGATTTTCATTCAGTAAATGTTTGCAGAATGAATGGGGGTGTGCTGGAGCCAGGGCTGGCAGGAGGGCTAAGATTTCAGCAGGTGCAGGTGACAGGGAGGTGCTGTGGGAGGAAGGCCCAGCCCTGGCGCTGGGGCAGGGAGGCAGCTAAGTGCCAGCCAGGGAAGGCTCAGCTCAGCCAGAGGAGGAGTTTGACCTTTATTCTGAAGGCAAAGGGAGGCTCTGAGCTGGGGAGTGACAGGATCAAAGCGGTGTTTATGGAAGATCAGTCTGGCTGGGCCTGGCCAGAGGACATCTTGGAGCAAAGTGACTGGGGGAGATGGAGGGGGGCAGGGCCAGAGGGCCAGAGGGAAGATGTGTACGTGTCTAGGAGCTGCAGAGCGGGTGATGATGTCTGCTCCCCTCCACTCTGCAGACCCGCATGTCTCCAGGGCCCCTCTCACCTGCCTGCAAGAAGGAGGAGGGAACATCGCAGGGAGAAAGAGAATTTCTCAGGGACACAGAGAGCAAGGCAACACTGCCTCCTGCCTCCTCCTTCCTCCAAGGGACTGGGAGCCCAGCTCAGGGTATAGGGGTGGAGGGGAAGACCAGGACTGGAGCTAGGACCTGGGTCCTTTACTTTTCTGGGTCCTGCTCCTGTCCTCTAAGACGAAGTGTGAGTCGATGTGGTTTTTAAAGCTAAGGAGGGGTGCCTGGGTGGCTCAGTCGGTTAAGTGTCTGACTTGATTTCAGCTCAGGTCATGATCTCAGGGTCCTGGGATGGAGCCCCGCATTAGGCTCTGGGCTAAGTATGGAGTCTGCTTGCCCCTCTCTCTCTGCTCCTCCCCCCACTCACTGGCTCTGTCTCTAAAATAAATAAATAAAATCTTAAAAAAAAATAAATCTAGAGAAATAATTAATGGTGGCAGAGAGAGAGAGAGGACCTATTACGCTCCAGGAACAGCTGTGCATGAACCCCAGAGCTCAGTAGCAAGAGGCTGAGATGACAGTGCTGTCCAGTTCTGGACCTGGACTTCCCTGGGGCGGTGGGGAGATTTCTGGTTTGGGCTGCTAGTAGGAGTTTGAGACCTTAGCCTTTGCTGGGACCAGTCATCCTGATCCATGTCTTCTCCCCCTTTGCTCCCAACCTCCTTTGGTCCCATTTTCTGATGGATCCCATACCCTGGAAGCATGCTGCCAGGCCCACTATCCCTGCAGCCCCCCAGCTCTGACTCAGTCTGAGCTCCTGGGAACTCAGAGGTAGCTAGTTTTGCTCTCTGGAGGTGGGGACATAAGGTTTCTGACCCTGGATGGGCCCATTCTCTGTGAGACAGTGTGTTGTATAGACATACACCTCCAACTGCATTCCTCCGGGGGGCCTGACCTTGCCCTGCCTGACTCATTCTGGGTTAGGAATTGCAGACCATCGGAGAGCACCACTTTCAGAACCTGCCAGACCTCCTTCTCTGAGGTCATTTCCCCATTGTCCCGGCCTTGCTGTGCTTTTGCCCCCTTGAGGCCTGCCGCCCCCGCTCTCCTCCATTCCTCGGCTTCTGGGCAGGCCTGACCCCATCTAAGTCTGAGTGGGGAGTCCCAGCACAGAGACTCCTTCGAAGGAGCACCCCCTTCCTTGGTCACTCATCGCTACTCTTATTATTCCTTAGATGAGCCAGTCCTTTGTCCAGTCTATCCTTTCGCCCCTCTCAATGCTCAGTGAAGGAGAGGATGCTGTCTTGTCCACTGGCTAGTACTGCGGTAGGAGGGAACTATGGGTGACTCCAGAGTGTAGTCGAGAGTGTGCTTCATCACAGGGGCCCTTTCACTGAGGGACGGAGATGAAGGACAGGAGGAAGGGTGAGATCTTGGAGAAGAGTCTGTGGTTTTCTCTCACTGCAGTAGGGGTCCTAAACGGGGCCTTTACAGGGCAAAGAAGAGCTCTGACAACTACTGTCATCACCTAATTTATTTGACATACGAGAGACAAAAAGCTGAGAGCCCAAACCCAGTATGATTTCAAGTTTAGTGCTGTCCCCGCTGTGCGGCAATAACTTTGGGAAATTCAAAGTTCTAAAAACCGAACTGATGGATTGGTTGGGTGGGGAGGGGTAGAGAGAGAGGGAGAAGCAGGCTCCATGCTCAGCACGGGGCTCTATCTCATGACCCTGAGATCATGACCTGATCTGAAATCAAGAGTCAGACACTTAACCAACTGAGCCATCCAGGCGCCCCAAACCAAATTGATTTAAATGAAATTAAAGGAATTCCAGAAATAAATGGTCCTGCTCCTTCATTATAGAGACACCACTGTAGCTCAGAGAGGAGAAGTGACTTGTCCAGTGTCACACAGCAATTTAGAGACAGTTGAGATTAGAACACATGTGATTTGATTTCCAAATTTATGTTTTTTGGCTACTCTACGTTGTTCTAGGGATTGTTTAAAAACAAATCTCAGTTCCATTTCATTTCATTTAATCACAAATCCAAGAGCACTGAGTGGTGGTAGAAAGTGCAGAAGTGAAAGGATTTGAGGGTGAGTTAGCTCACAGGGTGAGGAGGAAGGGTGGAGAGCTGGGAGGTCGATTATGCCAGTCAGCTGCTCAGCTGTTCTGGAATTCCTGGGTCTTCCCAGATCAGCAGGGCCACTTCGGGAGGCCTTCCCTTCTGGAAGGCATCTTCCTTTATCAGAGGGGCTGGCTGATTGGAGTCAAAGCTTTCCTCCTGGCCTGGAGAATCTACATGGCTATCTTCTGCCTCTCTCTGGCCTGGCTCTGGCTAGACCCAGGGGCCTGGGAAACCTCACTTTGGGTTTCAGAGCTAGAAGGTTGGGTTGAATTCTGATCCTGATGCTCAAGTGCTTTGTGACCTTAGGAAATATTTTGGCAATTTCTGAGCTTCCCTATCCTATGGTGTAAAATGAGGCTGTTTGTACTCTCCCTGTAGGCTTAAGTGTGAAGATCGAATGGGGTTATAAAAAGTCTATGGTGTGGGGAGTGCCTGGCATCTGGTACGATCTTGGAGGGGGAGGGAAGCAGGGAGGAGAGACATGGCTTGGGAGGCAGACAGGGCCCAGTTCGGCCTCTCCCAGCTGCTGCTGGACAGCACAAGCTTTTCTTAACTTCCAGGCTGTTTCCTCAGCTCTAAAATAGAGATAATGCTTATTTCACAGTTTCTGTAAGGATTAAAAGTGGTCATTACCGTCTTAGGGGAACTGCTAGGCCACTGGGGGATGCCTGAACTCACGCCCCAGTCTGGCAGACCAGGTCAGAGCTGAGGGTATCTAATCACAGTCCAGGCTTGGAGGGTTGGGAGAAAAGCCTGGGAGGTCTGGGAGGGCTTCCTGAAGGAGGTGCTTGGGGTGGAGTCACGCTGGAGGGACAGTGAGAGAGAGAGAGAGAGAGAGAAGGAGAGTCCCTGGTCTGGTGACCTGTTCAGGGAGAGAGAGAGTTTGCTTCGGAGCCGACTGCCACGTGGAACAGGGTCTGGCTGTGGGTGGGAAGGGGCGCCTGGGGGTGGAGGGTCAACGTGGCTGGATGTGGGAGCCATGGAAACCAAGGACCCATGGATCTAGGAGGAGGCCTGGGGAGCTTGACTTCTGCAGCTGGACACTTCTGAGTCAGAAGCACAAATCTGGGAGGGAAATGGCCCTCTCCTTGGGTAGGACTTTCTCTCCTCTGCCTCCTATCCGCTGGAGGCTGCTTCTGCTGCCCAGGCTTCTCTTAGTTTCCTGAGATGAATCACCAGGGAAACCTGCGGAGTCAAGGAAGGAGATGGGGCAACTCCTGGCCTTGGGGAATAGATGGCCTTAGCCTGGAATTCTACTGGGAGGGCAGAAACACACACAGAATTGCGTTGCCATGGGAGCTTGCCTAACACTTCCCTGAGGCTAAACCTGCCCAGCCCCAGACTGCCCCACGCCCCCCCTTCAGAGCCCATTCCTACCTTCCAGGTCAGCAGACTTGCCCAAAGACCTATGAATGAGTCAATGTATCCTGCTTTAGGGTTACCTCAGGCCTTAGACACCAGGGAATCTGGGAGGTAGGTTGGTTACCGAGGGTAGGTAGCAGGGCTTTCCTGGATCCGAGCTGCTCATTTGTGAATTCATTCATCATATGTTTGGTGGAGTGCTTGCTAGGCATTTTCTAATGCTGTAAATCTGGCCGTTAACAAGATGACGTCAAGGTCCCTGCCTTCATGGGAGTGGTGCCCTAAGTCTATCAGAATCCCTACAGTAAGAGGGGTGATTCAGATGTTTGACAAATACCAATCGAATGAATGCAATATGTATTTTTCAAATGGCTAACTAAAAGAAGAAAAAGGTCTTTGGACCATTACTTCTGGGTTATCCACATGACCGCTTCCCTCGATGGAGCGCTGGAAAGAGCTTGCTCAGGCTGTGGACTGACTCCAGACTCAAGGTCAAATCTTGAAGGACTTTCAGTTTCCTCATCTGTAAAAAAGGCTTAATGGTACCCTCCTCATGGGTTATTTTAGGATGGCAAATAATATAGGCGAGAGATCTGACACTTTGACATAAGCGGGAACCCCATAAATGAGAGCTGCCCCCATGAGCCCCACCGTTCCCACCACCACCATCACCACCACCACCATCGCTGGTAGGGAACGGAGCCCTGGGTTGAGAGCTGGCGAAGGCAAGCTGTGTCCCCGGGACAGGGCTCGGTTTGCATGGCCGGCTTCTTCGGAATTGGATTTGCAAGCTTCTGTTTTGCATGGTGGCAGATTTTTGCATTGTCCCCTTTATTACTCTCTTCTAGAGTCCTCCTTACGGCCCCAGCTGCCACTTCCTCTAGTGGCCCTCTGCCCTTCTGAGCCAGCCGGCGCTCTCTCCCCCCTGGGCACCTACTACCGTGGGTTGGGCAGGCACGTTGCAGGACACGAAGACTCAAGAGACGCTGTTCCATCCTGCAAGGGGGAGACCAGGACTTAAATTCTTACAAGGCCACTGTGTCAAAGTGGGTGTCAGCACAAATTCCTGACTAGGACAGGGGTGGGGGAAGCTGCTGGAGGGAGGCTTTAGGAAAGGCAGGGGGACAAGCACAGAGCAGTGGCCAGGGTCCAGATAACACTGACTGACCCATCGCTGCCAGGCCCCAGTCCCCTATCTCGTGTTCACCTCAGCCCTCTTGGGGGGCTGCCATTATCTGCATTTTCAGGTGAGGCAAAGGAACATTTGGAGAGACTTAAGTCACTTGCCCAACTTCACACACTTAGGAAGTGGCTCCCCAATTCTTACTGCATTCACTCTCCTGTGGCTTGCCATCACCCCTGGCTGTGGGGCGGGGGCACATGCGTGGGGACGGTCGCAGCAGTGAGGAATCCGTGGAGTTCAGATTCCAGTTCTTTTCCTCACAGCTGTGTGGACTTGGGCCCCTTTCCTTCCTTGCCTGACAGGGAGGGTTTTTATGAGTTTAAAGGAGGTGAAGTGCGCGGTGCACACAGTAGGCCCTCAGGACACACCCCTCTGATGCTCGAGCCCCCTTGGCCTTCTGCTTGAACCCATCCTCACACAGAGCAAGCCACAACTTCCCAGATGACGATGCAGAGTCCACTTGCACAAGGCTCAACTTTTGGAAAGTCTTAGCTCGCAGTGAGAAGTCTCTCCCTGGGGCTCCTTCCTGCTGATTCTAGCCATCTCCCCTGGGCCATGCAGATGAATGTCCCCCCTTTCTCCTGGCAGTCCAGCCTCTTCGCCAGGACTCACCCTCCTCGGTCCTGTGGTTGTGTGTCTGCCTCGCGGGGTTCCCATTCTCCCCCGTCTCAGGCATCTCCTTGCATTGGCTTCCATGTGTCCAGGCCCCCCTCAGAGTCAGACAAGAGTCAGGCCCTGTTCTCCAGGCACGTCACGATCAGCGGGGAGAAAATGGGCTCTCCCAAGCTTGCGTCTGCTGCTGAGGACCGTGGAGGGTTTCGTGGCAGCCTCATCATGCTGTGCCCTCAGGGAAGGTGTGTGCTTGTGTGCCCGTGGGATGAACAGAGGTTGCTCCGGGGAGGGTCTGCACATTCACTCTGCGACACCCACTCTGGGCTGGTGCCTGCCAGGCAGAGGCTGGCACGGAGGTAAGAACCAGACACAGACGCTAGAGGACCCCGCCCTGTCTGCCAGGAGCTGTGGTCTGATGCTGGTGGGCTGAACACGATGGTGGGGGGGGAGGTCCAGCGGCTGTGGCAAACGCATGCACCCATCTGGCCGGAGCAGAAAGGGCTGGGGGGAAGCAGGGAGCTGTCGGAAGTGCATCTGAGTCACCTCCTTGCTTCCCTTCACCTTGAACTCAGCCCTGCAATCAACTGCCACATCCCGTTGGTTCTTCCTTCTTACCGTAGCTCGATTCCATGCCTGCCTTCCCATCCCACTGCTCCTACCACACCACACGCCTCCTCATGAGCGTTCTGCAAGAGCCGCTTCTCTCCTCTCCTGCCTCCAGTCTCACCTCTACCATCTAACCTACGCAGCTCACTTCCTCTTCCTCAAGCTTTCACCTCCTGCTTTCACCATGTCATCTTCCTGCCACACACCTTCGTGGGACTCTGCATCCTACAGGATAAACTGTCTTGCCTTTGAAACCCTCAGTCCCACCTGCCTCCTTACCCTCTAGTCTTTCTGCTCGTTCCATGGGATTCCTCTTCCGGTCCAGTGACTCCTCACATTTCCAGGTCTTTTCATCCATATTCTTTTGTGAAGACTCAGTCGAGCCCAAACCTATTTTATTATTTTTCTTTTTTTTTTTTAAGATTTTATTTATTTATTTGACAGAGAGAGAGAAAGACAGAGCACAAGCGGGGGGGAGGGGTAAAGGGAGAGGCAAAGGCAGACTCCCCGCTGGGCAGGGAGCCCGATGGGGGACAGGACACTGGGATCATGACCTAAGCAAAAGACAGACGCTTAACCGACTGAGCCACCCAGGCGCCCCTAGCCCAAACCTATTTTATTTAATTAATTAATTAATTAATTTTTAAATTAACATATAGTGTATTATTTGTTTCAGGGGTACAGGTCTGTGATTCATCAGTCTTACACAATACACAGTGCTCACCATAGCACATACCCTCCCCAGTGTCCATCACCCAGCCACCCAATCCCTCCCCTCCAGCAACCCTCAGTTTGTTTCCTGAGATTAAGAGTCTCATGGTTTGTCTCCCTCTCTGGTTTCATCTTGAGCCCAAACCTATTTTGTTTAAAACCAGCTCTTCCCTTCCTTTGAAGTCCTAGTAGCATTATGTCTGGATCACTTATTTTTCTTACATCAATATTTCATTGATAAGGTACAGAATTTATCCAAGGGCTCAGTGTGCACACCCATATCTTTATACCCCTGCTGCCCTCTAGATTTCCACGCCTGCCTCTGTATGCATTCGGGTTAGTGTAGGCAGTCAACATCTGTTGTTTTTATCTGTCCAACAACTCGTCCACCTTCTTTGGCGAATCACCTGTTTCTGCACCCCCCCCCCCATATAGGTTGGGTGGGGCTGACCGCCCTTCTCCATGGGCTGCACACGAGCGAGATCCGGTCTAGCCCAGATTGACAGTCTTCTGGTCCTCTGGCCACAGCGACTGGCTCCGGGATGAGCACGTGACCTAAGCCAGCCCAATGAGAGTCAGCCTTGCAACTTCCGCCGGAACGATTGGCCAGAGGCCCCCTTGGTGGCCATCCTTGCTGCAGCGTGGAGCTGGTGCGCCCCAGAAGGAAGCGAACGCAGAGGAGCACTAGAGAAGTAGAGGAAGACAGTCCTGATGCCGTCACTGAGCCCCTCGTCACTGAACCCCTCATTTTGGCTTATGCCAAAAGTCACATGCACCCCTGATCCTCCCAGGTGTGTGAGCAAATAAATGATCTCTTACACTGAGGCCCCTGTGAGTTGGATCTCAGTCGCTTGCAATCAGGAGTTGTGAGCAATAATGCGTATCTGTGTGTTGGGGTGTGGATGATACGGCTGCTTGTGCATGGGTGTGTGTGTGGTGTGCATTTAAGAGTGGTATGTATGGGGGCGCCTGGGTGGCTCAGCCGGTGAAGCGTCTGCCTTCGGCTCAGGTCGAGATCTCAGGGTCCTGGGATCAAGTCCCACGTCGGGCTCCATGCTCGGCGGGGAGCCTGCTTCTCCTTCTCCCCCTCTGCTACTCCCCCTGCTTGTGCTCGCTCGCTCTCTCTGTCAAATAAATAAATAAAATCTTAAAAAAAAAAAAAAAGAGTGGTATGTATGTGGCGGTGATGGGTGGGCAAGGTGAGGGGGGCACACACACTCATGTGAGGGTGACTGTGTGTGTGTGTGTGTGTGTGTCTGCAGGGCAAGTATGACTGACCAGCTGCACAAGCATGCGTGTGCATGGGTTGGGGGATGGGTGGTATAGGTTGAGGTTGTGTGTGCACAGCCCGGGGTGGGCATGTGAGGGGTGGTTCCTAATGGCAGAGCACCTGCGTCCTCTGGGTCCTGAGGGCAGGAGTCCAGCTGTGTGTGTCTACGCACCCCGGGAGAATCGCTGTTGCTCAAAAAAATCCTGTTTATCGTCATTAGCTTCTCCCTTTCAGAGAAAAATCCTCATTATTTGAGGCCTGAAGCCAAATTCCTTAGAATCTTTGAGTGATATATAGAATCATAAAACTTGTTGATGTTCTTGGGAAAGTCAGAAATATCAGAGGCTGTTGGGACCATATATGTTGGGACCTAATATCAGAGGAGGAAATTGAGACTCACCCAGTGACTCCTCGTTTTCACTTCCTCCTACCCCAGCAGGTAGGGTGGGGGCAGGCAAGGTTGGCTTTGGGGCAGCTCGCTTTTAAGGAGGTCCCTCCTTGGTCCTGCCTCCCCATGGGCTGTGGTTGCTTTTATGGTGGGTGGTTAACCTCAGCTGTGCCTAGATCCCTACGTACTTATGGCTTCCCTTGATGGGTGCCCTTGATCCCTGAGCCTTCCCCGTAAGGAGGGCTGTGCTCTAGCTCACCCCTTTCCTTCCTGTTCCTCCTGTAGCTCCTCACCTCCCCAAAACAGACTGGTGTTCCCAAGCTAGAGTGTCCCAGCCACCGTACCAGGAGTGGCTGTAACTGCGTGATGTCCTGGGGCCATCAGCCCTCTGAATGTCTGAGTGGAGGTCTCAGGCAGCCATAGCCTCTGGCCTGACCGCCACTGGTCAAGCTGACCCTTCCATTGACCCCAGCCTGCCGTACACAAATGATCATTTCTTGTTCACCGTGATCCATGATTGTGGAGAAGGTTGGGAATGGCCTAAGCAGTGGCCGTATCCCTGGGTGAGGTGGGAACCGGGAGAGCACCTCTCAGAAGACTATGCTTTGCACGTGACTTTTCATGCCGCCCCCCCCCCCCCCCCATGTTGTGCCGCTTGCTTTTCTGTACCAGGCATGGAAGGGTCACACTCCTGCATATCAAGAGAGCAGGAGAGGAGCCCTTCTCTTCTCCCAGGGGCGGGACGGGAGCCCGGGCTAGCCTGTTAGTGTGTGTCTAACCTGGGAATCTCCGGCAATACGGGGTATCAGGGATTCAAAGTTCTTGTCCAGCCCCATGTGGTATGGATTATCTCCTTTATAAGCAGAGCCCTAGATTTTTCTGAGCAACTGGGGCCAGGGGGACGGGACTGAAAAATGGAGACTCAGAAGTTTTCATCCCAGACAAGAGTGACTTCAGGCAATGTGGAGGTAAGGAAGCTCACCTCAGCATCCTTCACCATCCTCCTGCTTCCTTAGGGGACGCTTGGACCCAGTGCTGACCCTCGGCTCCTCTGGTCCTCAGCCCCTTCTCTCAGGCCCTGCCCAGCTAGTGCTGGTTTGCTGACCTGAAGACAGTCTCTTGGCTGTTAATCCAACGTACCACTTTCCTTGCTCCTCATTACAACAGTGGAAATACGATGACATAGCCGTGAGGAGGTGGAGAAAGAGTTTCCAGCAGTGTGACCTTGGGCATGTTTCTTAACCTCATCTGGTAAATATGGTGATTATGACATCTTCTTTTCTTGTGAAGATTAAATGAATTAATGCTTGTAAGGTCTTTTTAAAAAATTATTTTTAAGATTTTTATTTATTTATTTGAGAGAGAGTAAGAGCAAGAGAGATCACAGAGGGAGAGGGAGAAGTAGACGCACCGCTGAGCAGGGAGCCCGATGTGGGGCTCATCCCAGGACCCTGAGATCATGACCTGAGCCCAGATCAAGAGTTGGACATTTAATGGACTGAGCCACCCAGGCGCCCCTATAAGGCCTTTTTTGTACCATATACGTATTATTATTAAAGTATTAGAGTAAATGGCATTATGCGTCTGTCTCTCCCAACTTACAGTGAAGGCCATTAGGTACCCAGCTCTCTCAGAGCCTTCCCGGCACGTGCCCAGTATATAGTCAGCCACCAATATACTGAATTAGTGACTAAGGACTCTTAATGGTCACTTTTCAACAGAGACCTTCATGATACACCTTGCCTTGGCCAAAGGAGGCTCCCACTTGTACCTAACTGGTGTGAAAGGAACCAAAAAGCTATCTCCCAAGACTTTTCAGGCTGGTGCCTGATAAGCAAATGAATAGGTGAATGAATGAATGGGTGAATAAAAGCAGGAGGAAATAAAGACCTTGGTCCTCAGGTTGCCCGGCAGGAAACAGAACAACAGACCTCTGGACAATAGCACCATTGCCCAGCAGCCCAGGCCTGGATAATTCTCAGGGCTGGAGGGTGGGGGTGAGCGTGGGGGCTGTCGCTGAGCCTCAGGTCCTGCTTTCTCTTTCCTCCCTCATGCACTCCCGTCTGGTTACCTGAACCCACTCTTTGGGGAAACTTTTTTTTCTGCAGTGGAGCTGTGGGAGGCCTGTGTGACTCCTTCTTTAGGGTTCCTCCAGGAACTCATCTCCTCTGAGAAGCATTCTCCCGTGACTCCCTGCCTTCCACTTCCCATGACTCAGGTCCCCCACACTGCTGTCCTCAAGGCCATGAGTGGGCCCCTGTCGGGTCTTCTCTTACTTTCTGTCTGTGTCCTTGGCCAGCACCGTGGAATGTCAAGCTCTGGGGACTGGCCACTCTGTTTTCCTTCTTGAGGAGCAGGCATGTTATCCACTGAAGACAGGGATGTTATCCATTGGAGGGATCCTGCAGTGATCTGAGTTTGGGCTTTGAGCTATTTTCTCTGCAGAGAGAAGAGTGTGTTCCTGGAGGTCTTGGTGGTGGGACTGGAGCGAAAGTCTTGTGTTCAGTCTTGGCTCAGTGGAGGAAGTTTTCAAAAAATCCAGATGGATTGCAGCCTGGACAGTTTTGGTATGCATGCTCTGGACAGAACTTGGGTTAAGGGGAAGGAATCCAACTGGATCCCTCCCACCTCATCTTGATGGCCTATTCAATGGATGGTCTCTTCCAGTTTGATATATGTGGAGATGAGGGTGTGAGGATGTGAAGGTAAGTGGGAGACGTCATCATCTCCAGGCTGTTGGGTGTGGGAGTACAGAATGAATGACCCCACGATGTGCCACTTTGGCACGTGGATGATTTTGAGCTGAAAGCAATCAAGGCCCAAAAGACTCGGAAAGAAACTTTGATGGTCCCCCTAACTGTCTAAAGAATTTAGATAGAGGACCTGCTCCAGGAAGGGAGCTACCGCCAAAGATTACGGTATAATATGAACTAGGGGTGGTAGACAGGGAGGAGTTTAGCAAAGTCTGTTAAAATTTCTCTCTCTGTCCCTTTGTTTCCTTATGGCCCACTGAACATTTGTTTACCAAATATTTACTCTTTTTCACCTTCTTGTGAATTACTTTCCTTCCCTTAGAAGTTCCAGACTCCTACAGCCTCCTCCTTAATTCAGGATGACATATATACCTCATTTTGCTCAACTGTCTTTGGAATCTCTCATGTTTGTGAGGATTTCCCGTACATAATTAAATTTGATTTCTCCTGTTAATGTGTCTCATGTCAGTTTAATTCTTAGACCAGTCAGAAGAATCTCGAAGTATAAAGGGAAATTTTTCTTCTCTGACATGTATTTGTGTCTCTTCGCCTCCGCAGTGAGGCTTACCTCGCTGTCCTTTTCCCCATACTTGTTCTAATAACATCCTTATTTTATTTTATTTATTTTTTTAAAGTAGTCTCCACACCCAGCACAGAGCCCAATGTGGGGCTCAAACTCACAACCCTGAGATCAAGACCTGAGCTGAGATCAAGAGTCTGACGCTCAACCCACGGAGCCACCCAGGCGCCCCATCGTTCTAATAACTTCTAATCACACGTCCTATTAAAATCAAAGTTTCAATTCAGAGAACATTCGTGGACATCTAATCTATGTGGAAAGCTCTATGGTGGTGGGACATGGATCAAAGGCTCACAGAGTGGGGAGGATTTGGAAGTTCTAGTCCAAACGCTTATCTGACCTAAGAACCCTCCCACGGTGAGGCCATGGTGAGCCTGCTGGACAGCCGGTAAGCAAGCCTTTGTCTCAATACTTCTCAGGACAGGGGCTTGCCGCCCCTCTAGGTAGTCCATTCCCATCCTGGCAGGCTTTAATCATCAGAGCCACCACTTATCATGAAGAAAAAGAGGTACCATTCATTGAACATTGACCGTGAACAGTTTTGGCCTTGATGTACACAGCACAAAAAACAACAATCAAATCACCTTTATTATTCATGATACGGCTTACTGATGGGCGTTCCCACCATCTGTGGCTTCCTGCTTAAACGAATTGTTCTTGCTGCCTAGGTGCTAAACTCAGCTATTCTATATCAACAATAAGATTTTTAAATTGCCCATCTTTTAAAATGACTTCAGTGCTTTGGGAACACTGGCTTGGGTACTGATGTAGAGGCAGGGAACCTCTTTACCTTTGGCATCTAAACAAAATCTTCCCCCCTGTCCCCTGATCTCTGTGCTGACCTACAGTCTCTGCTGTATATATGTGGCTAATTTATGCTTTTGTGGCTTTTCTGGGTAATGGTTTTATTGACCTATAACTCACACACCATACAGTTCAACCATTTAAAGTATACAATTCAATGGCTTTTAGCTTTTTCATGAGCTTGTGCAACCATTATCCTAATCCCATTTAGAATATTTTCATCTCCCCCCAAAGAATACCTGTGTTCTTTTTT